GCGCGCGGGCCCACGGAGGAGGACGCCATGGCGGCCCAGTCGTGGGCGCGAGGGCGGGGGTCGCAGAGGAGGGGGCGGGGGTGGAGGGGGGGAGGGGGGGAGGGGAGGGGGAGCAGGGGGAGGAGCAGGGGGAGGAGGGAGAGGGGGGGCAGGGAGAGGAGGAGGACGAGGGGGACGGGGAGGGGCAGGGGAAGGAGGAGGAGGAGGCGGAGGAGCGGGAGGTGGAGCTCTCTGTCCCTAGTGATTAGTGATCGTCGGACGGGGCGAGGTAAACCGAGGTAGAGCCAGACAGAGACGGGTAGCTGCACGGATCTGCAGTGGACGTTCCAGCGCGAGACAGGGGGGCATTCGAAGTCGAAGCCCTGAACGAGGTACTTTGCCGGCGTCAAAGGCTCCGGCGGGGCTAGGATCGGGATAGTTTTTTCCAGAGTGCTCCAGATTTTTCTCAGAGCGTCCCAGAGCACTCCGCCGCGGCTCCCGAATCTGAGAGATCACCGATCTGTCTCGTCTCGATGTTATCCTTGCCACGGCTTCGTTTTCATCTCATCCACGTTAACTGCGCGTAGATCAGGTTTCGGGCTGCATCTCATTCTCGTAGCTGCGCGGAGATCTCATCCACGTAGCTGCTCAGATCAGTTTCGGGCTCAATCTCATCCACGTAGCTTGCGCGCAGATCTGAAATACTAAAACGGTGTAAGCATGTTGTTCCCCGAATCGAGTCGGTCGCTGCATGCATCGACCCTCAAAGTGTAGTTACAACCATGAGAGGAAGGGAGGAGGGAAGTGAGGGAGGGGAGGACGCACCTTCCTCCTCCCGTCCTCCCGCCTCCAGGGAGGTGAAGCATGGATGGCGGGGGGGATGTGGCGGGTTGGTGGAGGTACGATAAGGCAAGACCAGTCGCGAAGCGAATTGAACATATTTTAAGACGAGGACGTGGCCCCCTTCCCAGCCTGGATGCGAAGTTGGGGCACGAGGCCTCTGATAACCCGATCGAGATATTGCGAAGGCTTTACGGCTGGTGCCGCCGACCCTGAATGGCGAGGACGACGACGACGACGACGACGACGACGACGACGTCGACGACGACGACGACGACGAGCGCTCTCGGGGGCCTCTTGGGGGTAGTGTGGGGCCTCTTGGGATGCTCTGGGGGGCCGCTTGGGAGCCTCGTGGGGGCCCCGCCCTCCCAGCCTGGCTGCGAGCTGGGGGTCCGAGGACTCTGACAATCCGATAGATGTTCACACCGTGTCCCGGTCAGAGTCAAGGGAGGAAAAACCACCGGGACCCGACAATTGGCGTGTATTACGCGGCCCTGGACGTTTATTAAACAGCCCTGCCCTGTTAGGTTCCTTCTCTGTGGGTGCGTTTAGTAAACGGCTTCGCGTGCCGGGGTGGTTCCTATCGGGGTGGAATTTCGGCCCTCTACAGAGGGCGGCGGAGAGCTTGAGAGATCCACCTGCCAAACACTTGAGTCCGGGGCGCGAGGCCTCCGACAGTCCGATCGAGATGCCCCCGCCGTGTCCCGGTCAGAGGGCGGGGGGCCCTCCTTGCGCCTCGCGCGGGCAGGGGGAGCGCTTCTCGGCTCGGTTCTCCGCGGCTGCGCGGGCGGCCATCGCAGCCGCACGACCCGCAAAGCCACGGGGCGCTTCAGTCGGGCCTGTCCCTCTACAGGAGGGATATTCGGACACAGTCAAAACGTAGTCTGCGGACGAAAATGATCAGTTCTGAGCATATTCGAGAATCGTCGGACAAATATTCGAGCATCGTCGACAATGTTCGTTTTTGGCTGTGTTTGAGTGTTTGGGAGTGTTTTTTCGATCCGCCTGCAGGGGGACATGCCCGACACAACACAAGGCAAGGGATTCTGTGGACAGCATGCTGAGAGACGGATGGGCCAGCCTCCCAGCGAGATGTAGGCACCGCCGCTGAGCAACCCTGGAGACAGGGATTCTGTGTACAGTCGGGGCGCTGAAGAAGGAGCGCGATTCGTTGGGGAGTGGCTCGGTGTTCCGTGATTGTTCTACAGCTTGCCTTGGGCTTCCCCTAGGTGTTCCATGGGAAATCGAAGTTTTGTCATGGCAAGAAGGGGCCTCGTTCCTTGTTTCGGGTTCCTTAGGTCAGCGCCCCGACTGTACAGCATGTTGTGAGACGGATGGGCCAGCCCCCCGGCGAGATGTGAGCACCGCCGCTGAGCAACCCTGGAGGCATGATCGGAACAACGCGCTGATCGGAAGCGCGTCGACTGCAGAAACTATACGTTGGCTGCCACCGTCGCGGTACCCTTGAAAGCGAGACGCTCTTTGCCCGGGTCCCCGCAAGGGCATATTCTGGCGGAGCAGAAAAGGGCCACCGTGACAGGGACAGGAGGTGGAGTGCGAGAGGAGGCAGCAGCACGGGCAGCACGAGGGCGAACGTTGTTCCCCTTCGCTCGCCGCAGCATCCAGCGTCGCTCGTGAAAGTCTTTTTTTTTATGAGACGGACTTCGTGTTCGACTTGCAAGGCTCGGGTCCTCCGAGCTTCGGCCACGCGAGCATCCGTCGCGGCATCTCCTACCTGGTGGTCGACAAAGCGTTTGCCTGCATTGCTCTCTGACGGTCAAACAAATGTACGGACACCAGTCGGAGTAAATGCCAGTGGGCTCGAGAAGCAGTCTGGCCTACCAACCCCGACACACTTCTTCACTGTCAGTACCGAAGACCATACACCCGTAAGACCCACGGATGCCAACCAGGAGGGCTAACAATCCCCGCGAGGCATTGTCTGTCGAGCTCCTGTCTGAGGTCCTGAAAGAAGGCGAGAGTGTTTTCCTGGCTCAGGTCCGACTGCCGACATTGCTAATCCTACCCGGCGAAGTCGATGATCATGTGTGTTTCGGTTACGTTTCTGCTTTCTTTCGGCCGCTGCCCTTCCTGCGCGGTGGCACAATTCGCTACAACGGTACCCCCGTTTAGGTAGTCTCCGCCAGTGCAGTTACTATGCCTAGCTGCCGACGCAAACAAAGTGTGTCGGTCACGCCTGAAGCGTCGCCATCGATATACAAAGGGCATTGATGCGTGCTTCTCCTGAAACGAGATGGTCAACGTCATATGGATGGGGGGAAGGAAGGGCGACGAGGGAGCAGGCGTGGTGCAGAGGGAGCAGGATGAGGACGAGGGGCGAGCACGGGGAGGGGGGTAGCAGAGAGGAACCTATATGGGGCGGATGGGAGAAGGACATACAGGGAGGAGGAGGAGGAGGAGGAGGAGGAGGAGGAGGAGGAGGAGGAGGAGGAAAGGGAGGAGGAAAAGGAGGAGGAGGGATCTGAGGGATCTGTTGAAACGCCTTGGTCTGCAAGGCCCGCTACCTAGGCACGCATCTCGGACCTACGTCGAGAAGCACAGTTCCAGGCCAATGCCCAGCGCAAGCGAGGGGGATCCAGCACGGCGACGAGACCACAGGACCCCGAAGCACCGCCCGATGGCGGTTATAAAAAAGGAGGAGGAGGAGGAGGAGGGGGAGGAAAGGGAGGAGGAAGAGGAGGAGCAAGAGGAGTAGGAGGAGGGAGAGGAGGAGGAGGAGGAGGCGGAGTTCAGGCCAGGCCTCGAGCCCTTCAAGCCGCTCTGTATCCGCCCGAACAGACATCTGCGTCTGGCCAGGGCGAAACAGGAGGAGGAGGAGGAGGAGGAGGAGGAGGAGGAGGAGGAGCGCGCATCGAGGAGCACAAGGAGTGGGAGGAGGCCCCGGGCCCCGGGCGCGTGGCCGCCCCGATGGCCCTCGGGCCGCGGGGCGACCCGTCGTGGAGCTGCCCAGACCCGTGCCCTTTGCCTCTCTGGCCTCTCTGTAATGTTGATGCTGACGTCGATGCCAACATGATATTTGATGTTTGATGTTGAGGTTGAAATTGGCCAACAGCACTCATGATGTTGATGCCACGCGCCACTTGCCAGCAGCACTCCTCCTCCTCCTCCTCCTCCTCCTCCTCCTCCTTTTCCTCCTCCTCCTTTTCCTCCTCCTCCTCCTCCTCCACCTCCTCCACCTCCTCCTCCTCCTCAGCCTCCCCCTCCCCCTCCTCCTCCCTGGTGAGCACGCATGCCCGCGGCCCGGCCCTGGCCTCTGGGGGCAAAAGGCGCTCTACTCTGTCCGCGCGGGGCGCGGAGCGCCGCTTGAACGTGGAGACCCATGCAAAGAAACATCCTGCTTGCCTCCGTGGTGCCCTGTGTTTCTTGAGTTTCGATGGCTTTGCGATGGGAAGCGCGACGTTCCCACACCAAAAGACATGGATGTCCTGGGGCCTCAGGGTTGGGTTCCTTGTGGAAGAGTTCTTAAACATCGCCATAATTTTATGGGCCCGTTTTCCTCCACCACCACCACCGCCACACCCATAAGTTGGAGATGGGAAGGAGGTGGAGGACGAAGAGGAGGAGGAGGAGGAGGAGGAGGAGATGGAGGAGCAGGAGGAGCGGGAGGAGGAGGAGAAGGAGGAGGAGGAGGAGGAAAGAGGGCAGGGAGGGGGGGAGAAGAAGTGGAGGAGGAGGAGGAGGAGCAGGAGGAGGAGGAGGAGGAGGGCCCCCTCCGCCTCCAACATCTGGAGGAGGTGGTGCAAGGCAGGTCCATCATACACATAAACTTTTGGCGCTCCGCCAGATTTCTTGGATCCGCGCTGGGCCCCCCAGGCAGCGCCTCTGGCGCCGGCGCAGATCCAGGAAGTCCGCGCGGAGCGTCGACAGTTTAGGTTTGTGCCCACTTGTCGGCCTGGAAAGACGCGTCGGGGGCGCTCTGGAGCGGCCGCGCCGCCCGGCGCATCCCCCAGAGCCCTTGGTCCGACGTGGTCCTGGTCTTGCGCTCGTCTCAGGTCGTGCTGTGGCTGCGCTTCGTCCGTGGAGCTTGCGCCGCGCAGCTCTCGCTCGCACGGGCAGGCTGACCTCGTGCAGGCAGAGCTGCTCTCGAACCGAGGCGGTCGCCAAGTGAATTTGCCTTTACAGTGCAGCTACTCCAGATTTCGTAATAAAAGGGAGGGGGTCTGGACCCTCCAAGACAAGCCATTTCAGACCTCCCCCGTGGGAGAACCCTCCAAAACATCGTCCCCAGACCCCCCATGCCCTCCAAGATAGCCCGGGAGAGACCCCCGCCGAAATGAGACCCCCCTCCCTTTAGTACGAAATCTGGAGTAGGCAAGCTGCTCTCGAACCGAGTCGGTCGCTAAGTGAATCGGCCTTTGCAGTGCAGCTACGGCTTGGGCCCGTTTTGGTCTCGCGAGGGCGGCCGTTACTTGGGTGTGGTGCGGGGCGAGGGGGCCGGTAACGTCACGGCGATTCGCGCCAG